TGAGACATTTCATTGATTAACAAAACTCATATAACAATACTTAATGAAAACTATGTTTAGTACGTTATCGTGCTCTTTACTCCTTAGTGTACCCAGATGGCAGAGTTTGTATCTCCATACTTCATGCACCTGGAGATGATCCTATGGGATATGAGAGCAGTGCTGAGAGATGGAGTCCTGTGCAGTCAGTTGAAAAAATTCTTTTGTCCGTTGTCAGTATGCTCGCAGGTACAAAATTTAATCCAGCACACTTATTACCTCTAACTTGCTCTAAAATCTTGACTTATCTGGTAATAAAAATGTAAGTGTAATAAAATTCAGATAAAACACCTATAACTCATAGCTCTAGCCGCTTTTTAAGAACAACAGGGAATTCAGGGTACTTTAATCCTGTCATCCCGAACCACATGTTTGCGCAACCCGTAATCCCAATGGTTATTTTCAGCATCTCGCATCCCGTGCATACTCTCAATCCTGAATCTTACTCCCAGTATGCCTTAAAATCCGAATCCTGGCCTTCAAATAGGGCAAATCAAGGCTTCTTTATTGGTTAAATGACAATCTTCTCAGCTCCAAGCAGATTTTAGGACCCTGTGAGACTCATTTTTACAAGCAAGCTTCCTAAACCTTTATTTTTTGTTCTTCTATATTTTTTCCACAGAACCAAATGATGAAAGTGGTGCAAATGTAGATGCATCAGTGAGTATTAACCCTAAGCACTAAGACAAGATAACATTTCTCTACAAAAAAAAAAAGATGTGATCAGGAAAAAAATAATAACATCTAAACAAAAGTCTAATTTTCATCCTTTATAGCCACTTGAGGTTTATTGCACATCCCAAAAACTGATTGGCTTAACCATCCTCCCCCTCCTTGGCAAATTCTTCATAACCAGCTACATGTTATGTACTGAGAACCAAATGTAGAAAACGTTTGCCAATAACTGCAAAGATGAACCCTTAATTCACCATTTTCACAAAGACGTATAATGCACCTTGCTTTAAAGTGCATCACCACTATCGTTTCAAATGTCTCCTGGGTATTACAGTTGTCCCAAGAGAAATTGAAAGGGTGAGGCTTGAACCCCAGACATCCACATCCGGTGCTCAAGGTACTAACCACTCAGCCAGACATGCCTCCACATTTTTATTTTAAGGTCACATGTTATTGGAAAGTGCGGAAATGTTCGTAAGGAAATTGCTGGTAGATTACAAAATAACAGCTTGTAACAAACAAATGTCTCCTGGGTGCGTATTTACCTGTGAGGTCTTGGACAGACTAACCAAAAAATAAATAAATTCGGGTTTTTTGGAAATATTTGTTCTCAATATTTGAAATTTGTGCCTAGAGGAATACATTGTTTTCTTACATGGTTATTTTCCTGTAATCTGATTGTTCAACCTTGTGTTATTGGCCCTGGTTGCAGTAGTCACACTGTAAGTGAATAGTCCCTAAGGTAATTTTAAAATTAGTGAGGGCGTAAACAACTGGTCATAATACCCAAAAGTTTGACTTCACCCCACCAAAAAATCCCATTATTTTTCTTCGTACCCCCCAAATAGTATTTGGACTTGAAAATGTCTTGCCCACCCCTTAGGTTCTTACAGTAGGTGGGCACCTCAGTGGACCCCCCCAACCCAATCTCACCCCAGTTCACGTTGTTGCTTCTTGTTATCAAAGAGAAACAGCTGATTCATCACAAATGCATCAAAACTAACTGACTGTTTTTGTTCTCTTTCTTCAGAAAATGTGGAGGGAAAATCGCAACAAGTTCAATGAAATAGCCAAAGAGATTTCCAAAAAATCCCTAGGTCTTTAATTATCTTTAAAACATATCTTATAACAATCAACTCTTCCGAATCAACACTAGTAATTTAGAAAATAATATTTATACATCAAATAACAACATTGTAAATCTTTCCAAAATGACAACGTCCAAGCGGGGATATTTTTATTAATTTAAATCAACCACTTTTTGGATCTCTTGATTTCATGTCACAAAGTAAGCAAGATTTCAAACATTATCTAAGAGTCATCCTGGCTTAACATTCACCACTACCCCTAATATTTCAAAGAGGGGACGAGAGCCTAAAAACGTGCATAAATAATAATATTTGTAATAATTATTACAGTGGAGCTTCCATATAACGAAGGGCCAAGGGACTGGCAAAATGTGTTCGCTATAACGAGGTTTTGTTATAAATTATCGAGGTTCTTTTCCATATATTTGACTATTACTGGGGTAAAGGAAATTGTTCGTTATACCGAGGATTTCGTTAAATAGAGGTTCGTTATATCAAGGCTCCACTGTACCATAATTTTATTTACTTGCTTCATCAAATAAATAGGTAAACAATATAGATCTCTGTACTACATGTACAACAATATGATATCATTTCTGTGAACTCTCAACACCAGAAATACTTGTCAAATGTTACTGAGTTGTAAAGAAAAAGCCAATCAGCGTACTGTACCCTACACTGACGCACCTTTCTCACCGCCAATTCCGAAGTGAAGAATCAATGCAAGGAATCACCGGAATAGATTCAGGACTCCTGCATGTAAGCGAAGAAAAGAAGAAACTAAGTTACAAGGTACACAGAGTCCGGAGGAGATGTGTTTGTCGTTAGAACATCAAGACCCGTCGACAACCTCTGAAAAAATGGGTTATTTTGATCGCGTTACAGTTTCGTTACACATCCTATAGACTGCAAACCAAGAGACTGAGGGCTCGCAAGATCGGCGTACAGTGCCGAGTAAGAAAAAGTTCGCACGCCTTCTACATGGACCAAAGTGACAAAGGAGAAAATAGTTCCCAAAGCAGACACAGCGGGTGTTACTGATAATAAAGTCACAGCAAGGGGTTAATCTTGCATGATCTAGGGGCCCACTAACCTCTATACGCTTCGGCCGAGCTCCTTGATTAGTCGTTATGGATAGCGATGTCGGAGCAGTGGTTTCGTCCTGCAAAACTATGCTTCGGCATTATCTCTGGAGTTATTGTCCCAAATTGATTTATCTACATTCCTAAAAGGTCAGAGCCCATTCCGTCTATTTAACCACTTGAAGCCCGCAACAGGATAAGATTCACTTTTTTTTTATTGTTTGCCTGTGCTCTGACGTACTTGTTCCAGCAATGTATCCACCTCTCTAATCTTAGCTTTCAACACTTCAGCTAGCTTGTTCTCGTTCTTATCTTCGCTCGTATTTCTATTTCTAGCCGGCGCTTTGCGAGAAGACTGGCTGGTTTCTTGATAACTTCTGCGAGACTGAGCGTGTTCCAGCTTTCTATATCTGTACTTATTCTTAAGTCTATCTACGCGCCTTTAGTGGAATTTCACGCGGGCGCCTACAAGGGCCTGTTCGGCTTTCTTTCTTATGGAGTTTATGTCTTTCTTAAAGTCCTCGTCGGGCGTGATATTCGCCCGCGCATTGTATCTTAAAGTCTTAGGGTATGAGCCTCTCTTTAGGTGATTGTTCAACAGACTGATAGAGTTTGTGGAGCTTTCAATCTTCTCCTGGATGGAGTTTAGCTCTTCTTTATGCCGTGATCTCTTTTTATAGGAGCTGCCGTTAGTTTTGGGGGACTTTGGTGGTTCTTCTCTTCGGCGCTTCCTGCCTCTGTCGTTGCTCGTTTTCTCAGAGCCTGTAGGCTCTTTGGTTTTCTGCTCACTTGGCCTCTTCCTGCTCTTTGGCTCGTTCGTTGTATCCCTCTTACGTTCCTGTCTTTGAGCGTTTGGGATACTGTCATCGTAAAGATTTCCCGTTTTAAAGATTTCCCCCTTTAAAGATTCCCGCTTTTAAAGATTCCCTATTTTAAAGATTCACGATTTTAAAGATTCCCCATTTTAACGATTCCCGCTTTTAAAGATTCCCCGTTCCCCATTCCTATTCCCCGATTCCCCGTTCCTTGTTTTAAAGATAGCCCAAAGAGAAAACATAAAATTCCTATTTACAAACAAATATTCCATATATTTGTTTTGTTTTGTTTTGTTCTCGAAAAAAATCCGTATCCCCTTCCCCCTTAAAGCAATGTTGCTCAGAAAACAATCGAGGATGACTTCTATGCTGGACCAACATTGCTTGGAGGGGAAGGGGAGTTTGTTGTTCACAATATTTAAAAGTCGAAAATACGGTCAGAGTTTTCACATTATCCTCTGCCCATCTGTCCAAGATTGTAGGTCTCAGCGGCAAACGTTTTGAGAGACTGTGGCCTTTGCTACCATATGGCATATTTGTGAAAATGCCTGGTGCTGCATATATGCATTGAGCTTAGAGTTGCCGTTAATACACAAGGCAATTTTCCTAGCAACTTGTCTCCCACATTTGTTGCACAAGTTGCACGAGACATTGCCTTGTGTAACATACCTAAAGTGTCTCTCTTAGTATTACTTATCCCAACAAAATTGCGAGAAAGTTTTGGTATGTTACACTAGGCAATGTCTCGTGCAACAAATCTGCGAAACAAATTATACCAGAGAAATTGCCTAATATGTAACAGCACCTTGAATTTTCATGAAACATTCGCATCAAGGGTCCATCATCCTGACGTATATTTTATTTCTTCAATTTTTTAACACATATCAGAGAATGCCATAATATTTATGCCTTCCAGCTGACTTTGTATTCGTTAAAACAAAATATAACGGTACAAACAATCATGCGTTAAATGGATCTCTAATACATCGTTATAGCATGTGATACAATGTATTGCTTGTTTGATTTCTTCGACTCTCTCGCGGATCTACGGGACAGGCCGACTCTTCTGTTTTCCATTGGGCATTAAAGTAAAGATAGCTTGAATAGCCGGTGAATCTTTAGCTGTTGCAGACACCAGGATGTTGTTATAAGACATCACCTGAGCTTGGATTCTCTTCATGCATTCAAAATCCAGTGCTTTGTTTGGAGTCTGGCCTCTGTAGCCAACGGTGTCCAGGAACGGCTTGATGTTTTTTGCGAAGTCGGGAATTTCATCTTTTACACCACGATACTTGGAAACCCATTCCAGGGATATTGTTTCTGGGTCTTTTCCAGGCTGTAAATGATAAACTGGGAGAAGGCCGGCTGCCTTTAGTGCATTTGCGGGGTTAGGAACCCTAGATAATATATTGTAGATGCTTTTCATGGCGTGGAAAGTACGGCGCAGGTACTTGCTCATTTTTAGGAGGGAGGCTTCGACTTTGAGTTCAGTGCAGTGTTCATATTCCTTGTTGGAATCGGCCCAGTTCTCGATCATGGACGCCCAGTAATCCATCACCGTGGTGCCTTCCTTGACAACTGTTGAATGCATTTGAAGATCGCCGACCACGTGTCTCATAGCGCCTCGCGTGTGATAGGCCTCGGCTGCATACACTAGGGCTACAGACATCTGAAACACACGACACAAAGGGTTGATTGATGACAGTGCAATTTGAGACAGAAGTTTTTATGGATAAATTAGTCAGAGTATGGGGTGGGCTGGGGAATTCACATATCAACCATAGACCTTTTCTGTCATAGGTAAAATGTCACTGTCTTAAATAAGGTCTATGAAATTACTTTAGAATCCTAGATAATATATTGTAGATGCTTTTCATGGCGTGGAAAGTACGGCGCAGGTACTTTTCATTATAGGTGCATATTTACCGAAAGTTGGACTACTCACAAATACATGAACAATAATTGAACCCCCCCTCATCCCTTCAACACATCTTGTTGAAAAATCTGTTGTGTCTGGTTTACATTAACCAGTTTCATATGTCATTTATCTCTAAACAAAATTAATCTTAGATGCCTAAATAATACTTTTATTTAAGATTAAGTAAGCTCCGTTAAATTACTCGCTGTAATTAAGTATTTTCTCTCTCTACTAGCATCTCTTATTTTGAACAACAAAATCACTCTAGGAAGATTGACCGTGCTATTGTAATATTAATGAAACGTAAAAGGCTTTAGAACATCTGCCCAACATGTCGGAACAGTTCGGATCAGTGACCTGTAAAAAATCCTCTGACTTCATGGTGGAATTCGATTTCAATCGAGATTTACAATCAGATGGGAACTTGAAGATAAAAGCTTTCTCAAAATAGACATTATCTGTTTAGATGACAGTTTAAAGGAACAGTATCCCGTTACTGCGCATGCACCAAACTTTGATTTTTGGACAGGATGTCGCGAAATCAAAAGATGCGAGGAGAGTAAGAGAACCGTGAAAAATCCGTTTGTATCGCGCTTGACCGGGCTCAATACGACACTAAAACTTCTCAGGATTACAGATCAATGATATATTGTTCCTGTTAAGTTTCGATTTGGGCAAAATCTGGATTTTTGGCGTTACTTTTATTGCCGTTGGCCGGAGGACCAAAAGATTGGAAGCACTTTGATGCCGATTGAAGGCTTATTTCTTCTGATAGCTTCCATACAAGCTCAGATAATTGTGAAAGGAATACGCAGAAATGAAACGGCAACAATAAAGACTGTAAGAAAGAAACCATTGAGACATTGATGTGACTGAGGAGATCTTGTGGAGGGGAGCTTCGTGAAGCAGAATGTTTTGCAACGACGCGTTTGTAAACTTTTTTAAATGAATCTCCCTAACGGCCGACAAAATCAAACAAACAGGCGCTACATGTTTAGAAAAACTAGTGCCATGAAATCATAATACAATTTTTGACTAACCTTTCTCATGATTCATAGCGTTGAGATCGCATTTTTATTTATGTCTTTCAAACGTTTGAGGCTAGAACGCGAGCAAATCAGGCAGATATTACTAGACTTGTAACAACTGACCTCTGACACGAGTTTCAAATTAGAAAATATGTTTTTAAAGCGAGCGGAACGAGATTTTCGGGTCGCGTGGCGGCCCAGCTAACGATAAAATCGCTAAAGTCTTCGAACCGCGAGCCAAATTTTTATATAAGACGAAAGACTTCTTTGAAAGTCTAAAACATTACTGGAGAATATAAACGACATATCTCTACCGGCGGTGCGGTCCGGAAGGAAATCTTGTCAAGTCAATATGACAGTTCTATTGTCTTTTGAAGAAAAAACAGATGACGCTCGCGCGTGCGCATAATCGGGACACTGTCCCTTTAAAGTATCGGATTATGGCGATTAAAACAAATGAAAACTTCACACCTTTCTGCAACGGCGTGACTTTCAGAAAGCCTTGAGGGACGGACCTGGCAACCGCTTCTGAATTGATACCAGGCTTCTGTCGGTCAAAGTCAAATGTCCCGACCCCGGGGTCGCTTCGCACGATCAAAAGCCCGACAGGGGGATAGCCTCAGGCATCAAATCCATGTCCCTTGCCCGCACTCGCCCCCACCCCCCCACAGGATTTACATTGATAGGTGCATTATATTTCTATTTTTATCGGGAGGTGGGGGGTGGGGGCGGGCGGGGCGACTCTTGGGTTTGGAGGGTAGAAATTGGGTCCAAAGGGGGAGGGTCAGCGAAAATTTTGGTCATATTGGGGATCGGACGCATGCCAAAAAATCTTTTATGTAGATTGGGAGTTAGGTAAAAAATATGTAAACGGAGAGGGGTTGGTGTGAATATCCATATAGTTATGGGCTCCTGTATAAACATAATCTGGAAACCCGCCAGCCCCTCCTCTATGCCCACAAAAAATGGTCTCTTACACAAAGAAATAAACTCGTAATTTATGCAGGTAAAATAAATAAAGGTAAGAAGGTAAAATATGAAGGCGTTGTGAGTAGAAACAGTGAATAATACGCAACCTCGTCCCCAGGGCTTTTCCCTTAAATGGGTGGGGCGGGAAAAGGCCCTGGCATCGGCTGGTCACGTGCACAGCCTAAATATTCCTGAGAAGCTAATTTATATGCAACCCGCTGGTTTTGCGCTGACAGAAGTCGAAGGGAGCAACAATGGAAAATAATGATATCGCGAACTGTATGTCAATATTTTCGCGTCTGTGCGATTCAAAAGCTTAAGATCCATTTAATTGCGTATTATTCAAATGCTACAAGAACCGGCTCTACGTTGTCACGTACAAAATATGTCAAATGCTTCAGAGTTGAGACAAGCTGTTATCGAGTAGTACTTCGACTGAAATTCATCGTGACTGTGGAATTACTGTACGATCAAGCAGAAAGTGATTTTGTCCAATGTCAAACAAAAATGCGGGCCTTTGCCTCTAGGATCTGCAGTGAATTTAAACAAATTGGACTTAATTGAAATAGAATTGTTCATCAAAATACTTTATGATGGAGTCTGGTCTTCTCTACAACCCGACCATGAAACAAACAAATCTTCGCGCCGGATGCAAGTCAGCCCTCCAGCCAGGAACGATGACAGGTCGCCGATCTGAAACATTTTAAGATCTCTTATATCTTTTCTCTTCCGGGGATAAGTACAAAGGATTTTCCTTATATCAAAGGGAAGATTGACCGATCGATTGGAATCAACTACAGCTCTGTCAATTTTAAATGGACCCAAGTCTTTCTTTGTTACCAGTCGTTTGATACCCTGGGTGCCAGAAACTTTTCATGCGCGGTTTCCGGTTTCGGTCAAGTCTCGCAGAGGTCAATGAATTTTTAAAAAGACAGGTCATACAAGATAAGTCTAAACCAACGCGTGACGCTATGATATGGCTGAGAGTTAAGTTAAATAGAACTAGGTTGTGTACGGCGGTCCACTTCGCAAGAAATAAAATAAAATATCAGAAGAGTCGAGAAAACGGACTTTTGCAGTACAAACTTTATGCATGTACGATAGCTTGTTTGTCATTTATATCGCTCTATAAAGGAAGTTTTACAAATGTTACCGCTCGCTGTCCCCTTCATAGAAATCGGAGGAAAGCAAAAAATTACCATAGCCAGTATCTGTGACAAAAAAGAAATCTTGTAAAACTTTTCGTTAATCGTCAAGAGATATAAAAGGCCGCCCAAGATCGCGCGCTGTGAGGTTACGCATAATTTTAGCTTTTCACATAGCGCTAATTTATTACACCCAGGATTTTAGTGTGTACGAGGGGACACGTGACCAGCCGATGCCAGGGCCTTTTCCCGCCCCACCCATTTTTTAAGGGAAAAGCCCTGGGGACGAGGTTGAATAATACGGGAGAAAATGAGCACGGGCATTTTTGAGATAACAAGCATGTTGCATTGTGGTCTAGCTAGTATGAACACCTGTATGGAAGCTATCCCAAGCTTCATCGCCATGAGCCAAGAGACTATAAAGGGGACAGAGAGGGCATCCCCCATATACACCCTATTCCATAGGTAATTCGTCTCGAGTTATTTTTAGAATCGGGATAAAGTTACCTCGCGCGAGGCGTGGATGTTTCGTGGAGGTTTCGCATGACCAAACGCCGTGCAAAACATGTCGGGCGAGAGGCAATGAAAGCGTAAAAAGATCGAGAGCATTCCTGAATATTGAAGCGAAATGAGTCGGCGCTCACCTGGGAAAAAGGAGTCGCTGGACTCTTTGACAACCCGTGAAATCAGTTTAACTCGAAGTTGTCGTAACCTCAGTACTTTAATAAAATGAGAAATTTCGCCGGTCTATTGAAACCGGTCGTTTGTACAATTTAGGGAGTTTAAGATCCAACGACGCGGACGACAACTAGAACGTCAAAAAAACAATAGGTTTAATTAGCAAAACAACAACTTCGCACGTGCAACACACTTTTTTGTTCATTTCTTTCCCGTTTTTGCACGACTACGGCGTTTTATGGGGGACGTAAATAAGCAACGACGATATTTTATTTTCCTTTCTGAGCTTGAATATGGTCCCTTGAAATTCAGTTTTAGGAGGGTTCGCCTACAATTGACGAAGTAAGTGGGTAGGAATAATCGCTATAAAGACTGAAAAAAATAAACATCAAACCAGAAATTGCTCTCTTCAAACTGTAAATTATAAATGATCTTGAGAGAATATTCAGTGTGTTAAGGATTTCCCTGCTCTACTGTTAGCTCTATACAAGAGAGGAAGGGCGATTCTTTTTTAATTTCGGTTTCGCTGACACAGCTTTCGCAGAAATCTCGCTGTAGTCGTTTTCGTCGACAAAAGGAATAGCAAAATCGCTCTCCGCGTCTTCCCCCATTTTGTTCTGCGTCATTTCGTGAAGGACGCGTGGCTCTCAGCGTGGGTCATCCACGCGGAACACATTCGCGCTATGTGATTGGTTGTTGTCTAATCCCCCTTGAGATCTGTGGTGTTAAAAATAATTCAAGACGAATTACTTATGGAATAGGATGTATATGGGGGATGCCCTCTCTGTCCCCTTTATAGTCTCTTGCATGAGCTGAATTGAGAAAAGGTCAATAATGCAGCTAAATAACGACAGATTGCTTGTAACCTTTAAATTCAATGTCATATCATTAATAATCAATAACTAATCTTACCTCTGACATATATTTAACAATTTCTTGATAATTCTCCCTCTTGTCAAAGTGATCTTTAGCGCCTTTCACTCTTTCTTCGTATATCCTGTTGTGTTCTTTCCTCAAGTCGTTGATGTTCTTGATTCCCTTCTTGTTTTTATCCCAAGTCTCAAGCTTTTTGATGAGCGTCGTAAAATACAGATTGCGATCCGGTACAGACTTGACTATCCCCAGCCCTCCAAGATTGGCTTGGGCGTAGTCTTTCAGTTCTTTGTAGAACGAGTCTCTGAATTTATACATCTGTATTGAAAGAGTTAAAAAAGCAAATATTCATACTTTTAACGACCATCTGTCAACAAACGGTAATTATGTTGAAAAGTTGCGGAACAGACGTGCCGTACCATGGCAACGATGGTGTATTCATTGAATAAGAAGGAATCTCAGGCGACTCGACAATCAACGAACGACTACTCTAAATTCTATAGAGTGACGGTGCCGCGTGACGTCGCTCTTTAGAGCCACACGAAAACTTCTCTAGTGAGAAAAGTTAAGTCTAAAGGGGGAACCTCGAGGCATTGTCACTGAATAGCCCAAATGGGACCCACCTCTAGTAGCGTCCCCCAGAATGCCGATTTAAGTCAGGGTAATCCCTGATCTGCTTATTTTAATCACGTTCTCACGAAAGAACAACATTAACTTTTTAAGTTAATTCCGTAGTTTCGTACCGCGCACCTCTACTGCGCATAACATTGATAGTTCACTTTTCTTTTCTTTTCGTCGGATATGACTCGAAATGGAGTAAAAGCAATGTTGCCGAACAATATATCGTCAAGCACGTCCGACTAAACACTTTTTAGCCACTATTTTGAAACATCTACATTTTATTTAGTCAGCAAGAACTATAACAGTTATCACGCTAAAAAGTCTCCTTAGTCCTCCCTCTGCCATCATAATGCTCTTGTACGCCACCAGAATGACGTAAATCTATGTTGCCAACGTATAGCTTAAAAACCAACACCTTGAACCTCCTTTTTTTATTTCGTTTTGAAATTAACGAGTTTCCATTGATAACTGTACCAAGTTTCATGAAAAATCTATGTTGGGTTTTATTTGTACGGAATTATACCTAAAAAACTTTCATTCTTGAGTTATTCTACCTTCAACTCTTTACCTTAAAATATGCGCTGGCAAGTTCTTGCATTTGATACCAAGGCTTTAGATCCAAGTAAGGCACAATATTCTTAAAGTATCCTGTCATACCAGTAAACAGTTCCGGCATGGCGAATTCCAGAGTGTAAGCATAGACGTTGGTATCAAACACCTCTTCTGACGGCTTGTTGAATTTTTGCAAAAAATATTCGTTGAACGCGGCCGTCAGGATCCCAGAGGTGTGTCCAATTAATCCCACATCGTAATCCGATGTACAAGTAGCGCTGCCGTAGGGTCGAGGGAAGCACACGGCTGTGGGGAGTATGTACCTGCCATTGCTGTCCTGAGTACATGCAGTAAGTGATTTAGCGCTCTTTATGAACAGTACAAAGGTAACGTACAGGTATCGAGCTTCGGTGATGGCGAGAAGCTTCACGCAGCCATTGGCTTTGTAATCTGGGTTTGCCTTGGTTACTTTCCAGTCCGGGTTACGTAGAAAGAAATTCTCGATTCTTGTGGCTGCGTACTAAGTACAAACGTATTAATTCATTTATGGGCCTTTAAGGATTTCACCTTCTCGGCCTAACAGAAGATGCTACTGCTGCTACTGCTGCTACTACTACTGGTTATTAAAGCTGCTGCTGCTGCTACTGCTGCTACTGCCACTGCTACTGCTACTGCTACTGCTACTGCTACTGCTACTGCTACTGCCACTGCTTACTAATGCCACTGCTACTGCTACTGCTACTGCTACTGCTACTGCCACTGCTGCTACTAATGCCACTGCTACTGCTACTGCTACTGCTACTGCTGCTACTGCTACTGCTACTGCTACTGCTACTGCTACTGCTACTGCTACTGCTACTGCTACTGCCACTGCTACTGCTACTGCTACTGCTACTGCTACTGCTACTGCTACTGCTACTGCTGCTACTGCTACTGCTACTGCTACTGCTACTGCTGCTACTACTGCTACTGCTACTGCTACTGCTACTGCTACTGCTACTGCTACTACTACTACTG